CATGAGGCTTTGTTTTAAATTATCAAAGGCAGTTTGGCATTCTGGTGTCTAAATCAAAGTTTCTATTTCTGTTACATCTCCTATAGGGGTTTGGCAATCAGTCGAAAATTAGGCATCCAAATATGTCAGAACCCATGTAACTGTCTCTGGTTCCCAATTTCTCAGAGACAGTCTGCTTCTGATCTGATATCAAACCGTGGGTTCTTTGGCCAAGTTGGAATCTTGGTTAGATGACTTGTTGTTTATAAACCTGAGACTTTTTTTTTTTTTTTTGTGGGCAACTTATGTACTCAGGAGGTGCCGTGTTTCATTATAACACTAGTGTTTAAAAAAACAGTGTTTATAGTTGGGGCCAGCTCTAAGCAGGTCATCCACATATTGCAAAAGGATTCCTTGATCTAGCCATAACCCTTGAAGATCTTCTGCCAGATTCTCGCTAAACAGTGTGAGAGTTTTTTTAATCCCTAGGGTGAGACAGTCCAGTAATACCTGGTGGTTACTGTAGTATTAGAGTCCTGTCACTCAGCACAAAAGTATTGGGACCTTTTTATCTACATCCAGTGGGATGCAGAAGAAAAGCATCTTGTAAATCTATCCTGTGAACCAGTCAGTCTCCTGGCACCACAGTCGGCAGAGTGTATGGATTTGGTGCTATGGGCTGAAAATACTGAATGATATTATTTATTTAGAGCTCTTAAGTCTTGCACAAATCAGCACAGCATGAGGTTTTTCAACAAGAAGAATTGGAGTATTATAAGGGATCTGACAAAGCTGACTCAATCCGTGTTTTAAAAATTTGTCCAGAAAAGGCTGAATCCTCATTAATGCCTTTCACTTAAGGGAGATAGTCTTTCTTAAGGAGTAAGCTATACCTCCTCCTTAGGTAAATCTTGGTTGGGATAGCACTGGTCACCCTTCCTAGGGTCCCTTCAGGCCCATATGGCCTTATTCACTTTCTTAGCAGACCTCCACAGAGCAGGCTCCATTTCCTTATCTTGGCTGGCAAGTGAAAGCAGGAACTTTCTGGTGGCACTTACTTTTTGGGTGAGAACCTTATTTCAGTTCTTAACTTACACAACAAACCTCACCCCAGGAGAGGGCTCCTCTGGCATCCAAAAAGCTGATCTTTGTTCTCCCAGTTTGCATTCAAGAGGTTTGTGCAATGGATGCCATTGCGCTCCACTTGTCGCTCTTATTATTGCAACATCATCAACTTTGAGCAAGTTTCCCGTGACAGTGGGCTCCTTCTTCCAACATTGGGCATGCTAATTTTCAACGGAGGGTGGACCTTTCTATGCTTTTCTTTAGGCTTCCTTGAGGATCCCTTTGCACCTCCTGGTCATAATGTACATTAGGCCGTATCAAGTAGCTGTGAGGGGTTTATGTCAGTGGCCTCAACCTACCGAAGCTCTCTGCTTATGCAGCTTCTCCTATCACTACAGGATGTAGCCCCTGCTGTTTGTGGCACAGTTGTGTCACAGTCTAGCAGTACAGCTATACAAGGCCTTTATTTTTGTTTTTGAGGACCCTGAGCTGATACAAGAGGCTTCAGGGTGTTTGTTTGTTTGTTTTTTGGTGGAGTCTTTTTTTTTTTTTTGTCTCCTCTAGTTGAAGGTTTTCAAGCAGCAGCTGAGTTCTCCTCCTTCCCAACCTGCAGTAGTTCACCCTGCTAGGCCCGCTCTGCGTTTACATCAGTGGGTTACTGTCATAGCAAGAATTGCTCTGCCCCAGTTATGGTGTCTCCTGGATAAATAAGGTATCCTGCTGGATCTTAAAAGGGAAAATATTCCTGTCCCCAGGGCATAATCTAGTGGTGTTTATAGCCACCACAAAGTCATCTTTGGCTGGTGATCCTCTACCCACTGCAGGCCAAGTAGACTGGGAGTCCTCAGAGGTTCACTTGCCCCATGCACACATTTCTCCATGTCCCTGGCAGCTTCCTGGGACTTTTTTTTTTTCCCCCAGTAGAGGGCTGGCATCCTCAACCCACATGCCTGGAACTGGGGCCAGACTGAGAGGCAATGTTGGGCCAGCAGGCATTGGGTTGAAAGGGTTTAAATCTTCTGCAACTTTTTCTTCGGGTGTCTTGCTATCCTTGTATACCAGAGGCAGTGCCTTTCTTTGTCCCATCGACTTAGTTGCTGGCCTTGAGACTCCATATCATGCAACTACATAAATGCCTGCACATACATCTCTTCCGTTTATTTGACCTCTAACACACCAACTCCAAATAGAAGGTCATGTAATAATTCACAGTATCATTCAACAGCCTGATTGTGCTACAGTTAAACATCAGCTTTTCCTTATTCATAGGTTTGTACCTGTATGTGACCCCATTGAGCCACGATCTTTCCCCAGAGGCTACCCAGTGGGATCAACACAGCATTGCCCATGTCTTCCAAAAACACAGAGATAGACAACCAGAGGGAATCCCCCAAACCAAGGCAGATGAATGGGAAACTAAAACAGACCAGATGGGGAAAAATAATTCCCTTGATGTTCTACTCCAATCTAACAATGACTACTCCACCATGGCTCCACAGATGTCCCCACGAAGGGGGGAAAAGATGTGTAGAATCAAGAGTCTTAGCTTGCACTCCAGATGGTCCATGTGATACGGCTTTACTGAGTTCAGTTTCCTTTTCTTCAAAGTAGCTCAACTAATGGAGCAGCTCAGAGAGTTCAGGGGGAGAAGGAGGGAATTCCCTGATGCAAAATGATCCTTGGCAGCTGCTTGGATGTTTCCTCCTTTACTCGCAGGGATAGTAGTTCACCCTGAGACAAACTCGCCCCATCTCCTAATTCTCCAGGAGTTGGCTCCCACCAAACTCAGTAGCCATCTTGCATGCTCAGCATGGAAGGGGAGGCATTTGAAGTGCCAGACCTGCCTAAGAAGGCCAGATCTGGAGGCACCCTCAGGTCCCCCTGGGGTTCCACACTTGGTACTGAAAGGTCCAACCTTGACCCTGATGCCAGCCTAATGATGGCAAGGTTTGAAGAAGAAGAAGAAGGAAAAAGTTTTATTGCTTTGCCAGCAAAGGAATGAAAAGGGGGCTCCTTTCCCAGAGGCTGAGATTCTAACCCTTGGAGGGAACAGTGGGCTTTCCAAGAGGGGATACAGAGGCTGCACTCAGTTGTGCCCCGGTTGGAGTCATAGTTTATTGGTATCCTCAGGAGATAGCCATTTCTGTCCTGCTGGTGGCAACCCCAAAGTCTGGATTCCTTTATTCCTATGGTCCATGACCCAAAGGACAGAAATCTTGGCTTAGGATAGGAAGAAGGTTAATCCTGCTTCTTCATGGTTAGAAAGGAAGGGGGAGAGAATAGGAAGGGGGGTTAAAAACCCAATAGATCAGTTTTAAACCAAGTGACCCAGGCAGAGCATCAAGGGTGATATTCAGAGCATGAAGTGGACCCTGATCATGTTCGATTCTGTAATTCACGCTTGGAGTGCAGCAATAGAGTTGGAACACATCAAGAGGGCAACTGGGATGGTAAAATAACCAGAAGGAGCAGAAAAGGTTTGAATGATTAAAATAAAAAGTTAAAGGTATTAATCTCAAAAATAGGTTTAGAGGACTATCTTAATTTGGGGTTGCTGGATTTTTTTTTTTTTGGCCTTCTTTTGTAAACATTGTCACTAATAAAGAATTAGTTTACTTAGTCCCATAGACTCATAATTAAGAAAATAAGAATAACCCTAACATCTGCAGTGGTCCAGAAAATAAGTGATTCTTGTCATAAAATAGTGAGATCCTTCTCACTATGAATGTCTACATAAAGGTGTAGAACAAGCTGTTGTGCTGTTCTTGTGAGGATGCCATTGTAGTCTGGTATCAATGACCCATTTATTTCAGCTCAAGGGTCTGTGCATATTTGTTTGTTTGTTTTCTTTAATTTAATCAGTTGAGTTCTAATTTTTGAGAGCGAACACATGAAAGAACTAAGGGAGATGCTGTCTCAATCCAAATATGTTCATTTAAATTGTGACTGTTTTTCTTTCACATAGTTTCTATTATTATTCTTAAAGCTTCCATAATTTTGATAAAATTATGTCATCAAATCAATTAAATAATATAAACAGAAGAAAAATAGAATTGAAAAATAAAATGTAAGGAAAATGAAAGTGAATTTTTCCTGTTCTAATTTCAAAGGGTAGTTGGTATTTTGGATAGCTGCTTAGAATTTTATTAATATCTTCTTATTAAAATATTTTTCATCATATTCAAGAACTTACTAAACTTCCTGTTCCTAAGGCCTGACTCAGGATCAGGGTAATATAAAGAAAATACATTCTGAGTAATTTAACCATTTTGTACTGATGGAAGATGGAGCTGGGAGACTAGGAGCATAAGTTATTTTATTTCTATGACATAGAAAATTATTTCTTATCAGAGTTAGAACATTTTTTACCTTCTTCCAAGTACCAAACAATAAATTTGGGGATTTTTTTGGGGGGGAGGGTATTGAGGATTGAATTAAGGGTCACTTAACTACTGAACTACAACCCTAGCTCTTTTTGTATTTTATTTAGAGACAGAGCCTCACTGAGTTGCTTAGTGCCTTGAAGTTGCTAAGGCTGGCTTTGAACTTACAACCCTCCTGCCTCAGCCTTCCAAGCTGCTAGGATTACAGATGCACACCACAGCGATTGGCTAAATTGGGGGATATTTTAAGAGAGTTTTTTTTGGGGCTGGGATTGTGGCTCAGTGGTAGAGCACTTGCCTAGCATGTGCCTAGCATGGGTTCAATGCCTGGCACCACATGAAAATAAACAAATAAAATAAAGGTATTGTGTCCATTCATAACTAAACAAAATTTTTAAAAAAGAGAGGCAGTTTTCCACTTAGGATGTCTAGTGCAACAACAAACAACAAATCTGCATAATGTCCTTAGTTGTGATGACAAAGGACCAGCCTTTGTGGTTGACTGAGGAGTGTCTTTCCTCTGCGAGTTCTCAGGTTGCCAAATGAACCTTTTCCAGCAACTTGCGTTCACAGATGTGGATATTGCCAGAGTTGTCACTCCAGATGCTCTAGTGTGTCGGACCATCTGCACCTACCATGCCAACTGCTTCTTCTTCACGTTCCACACCAATGAATGGCATATAGAATCACAGAGGCGAGTACAAAGGGGAGCGGGCCCACTGTTCTTAACGTCACTTTTTGAGTTTTGAAAAAGTTTTGTTCATATCCTGCAAAGCATTAGAGCCTACAGTTTAAGCAGGTGCTTTTCTATCAGGGGAAGATGAATTGAGAGATTAGGGGAATTTTCCATGGACCTTCTCAAATGCACCATTGAAAACGAAATGTCTGGCGTGGGAAAGAAATGAGCAGAGCCTTTCTGATGGGTCTTGGTGTTTTGTATGAGCTGGAGGTCAAAGCTCCTTGCTGGCTGTGTATCTTTGAAGCCTGTAGCCTCTCTTTCTTTTCCATCCTAGAAATTAGAGCCCTGTTTATCCTGATCAAGGTTCTGGACTGACCTCTATACCCTTACATAACCCAGTTTTTTCTTTACACACATGAGGGTAATAGAAGGGTAATTAATTCTGTGATGTATGGGGGGTTTTATTTTTCCAAGTAGAAAGTGGAACTTAATTATGCTTTTTTAAGGGTATCTGTGCCTATTAATTTTCACCACAGGGAAAGGTGGCTTGATTTACATTTAATCTCTATAATTTAGTAGAGTCCCGTGGTCTGACTTACTTTGAAGAGAATTTCTCAAGTGAATAAAATGTGCAGAGCTGTTTTTCTGATGTGAGCTGCTTTTGCACTTGCCTGATGCTTTTAACCCATTTCGGGCCATGGCTCCAGATGTGGAAGTCCTATATAAGCTTAAATAAAGTGTGCAACATGTAACAATATAGTGATTATTTAATGATATTATGATAATATTAATTACTATAATAATACATATCTGGATTATGATTTTCAACCTATTTTAATGCACCTGAGTTAATTTCATTGGAATATTCCGGAATCGAGAATTTGGAGACTTAATGGATTAATGCATCTTTCTTTCTCTCTCCCATTTTTCTTTAAATAGAAATGTTTGTTACCTAAAAACTTCTGCAAGTGGGGAACCAACTTACTCTACTCCTCAGGAAAACACTATATCTGGACATAGCCTTTTGTCCTGCAAAAGAACTCTGCCTGGTAATGGGATTCACTGATCATAGTACATGTGACAAATCATATGACTTTCTAAAATGTAACAATGATGAAACAGTCCTTGAGGCACCAGAAACTTGTGCCTGTGATTTGTTGCTTTTGTGATTTTTTTTTTTCCTTTTTACCTCTTTATGTTTATTCTTGGCCTAGAACCATGCCACAGCAAAATTTACTCTGGAGTTGACTTTAGAGGGGAAGAACTGAACATGACCTTTGTGCAAGGAGCAATTGCTTGCCAAAAGATGTGTACAGAGACAGTTCGCTGCCAGTTTTTTACTTACTCTTCACTCCCAGAAGACTGTGAGGAAAAGAAGTAAGGGAACATTTATTTCCTGATTGGCAGGATAAATTCATCCTTTTCTGTGAAGCTTTAATTTTACACTGTTCATTTGATGCAGGTGTAAATGTTCTATGCGATTATCTTCAGATGGTTCCCCAACCAGGATTACACATGGGATCCAAGGGAGCTCTGGTTATTCTTTGAGATTGTGTGAAACAGGAGACAGCTCTGGTGAGTACAGGTCGCTTTGTCATAGAACTGTAAAGGGATGCCCCTGTTATTTTGATAGCTTGATTTTTCTTCTGTAACAGAATTACATATCGCATTTTCCTTGGAAGATGGGGACTCACTCATGTCTAATTCTAACCATTAGCTTCAAAACTTTTCAGTCTGCACAAAAACAAACCCACGCATTGTGGGAGGAACGAATTCTTCTTTGGGAGAGTGGCCCTGGCAGGTCAGCCTACAGTTGTGGCTGCCGAACCTGATCCACCTGTGTGGAGGGTCAATCATTGGAAACCAATGGATCCTGACTGCTGCCCATTGCTTTGATGGGTAAGTCTTGCATATGTCTTATCTTGCCTATTCATTTTGAAAAATGTGCAGTTATTTTTTTCTGTTATCATGTGACTTTATTAATGGAGATTTATTCTGTTTTCTATTTTTTTAAAAAATTTTTATTTAAACCTTTTAACTGATAAATATGAAATTATATCTATTTATGATGTACCACGTTATGTTTCAATGAATGTATGCATTGTGTGATTTTTAAATCAGGTAAACCTTTTGATCTCCTCATTTATTTATTGTTTAAAAGAAAATGTTCGAAAACCTTTCTTCTAATCTTTTGAAATATACATTACATTATCATTTGATAGTGGCCCTCTTGTGCCACAGTATTCAAGAATATCATCCTCCTGTATGTCATGTAGTTCCTGCTGATCAGGTCTACTCTTCCCAGCCCTTGGAAATCACCATCATTCTCAACCTCCATGAAATCGACATATGAAAGTTCCGCATGGGAGTGAGATCATGCATATCTGCCTTTCTGTGCCTACCTTACTTAATATGATAATCTCCAGGTTCCAACATGTTGTCACAGTTGACAGGACACCATCCCTTTTTATGGCTGAATAGGATTCTGTTGTGTGTATGTACCACATTCATCCGCTGGTGGACACCTCCATTGCTTTCATGTCTTGTCTACTGTGAAGAGTGCTTCAGTGAACATGAGCGTTCTTATTAATATTAATATCAATTTCTTTTCCTTTGGATGAACGCCCAGTAGTGGGATTGGTGGATCATAAAATGGTTCTATTTTTAATTTGGTGGGGGGAACCTTCATCCTGTCTTCCATAGTGACTGTATTATCTTACACTCTCACCAATAGTGTGCAAGGTTTCCCTTTTTGACATGTCTTTGCCAGCACTTTATCTTTTATCTTTTCAATAGTAACCATCCTTATTAGAGTTCGATAATATCTCATTGTCAATTTAATTTGTGTCTTCCTCATGATTAGGGATGTCAAAGACATTTTAAAGCAGAAATGACATTGAAAATATTTAGCAATTTTATAGGGTCCTGACCAGGCTGATCCATCATAACAGAGGGTGACTTATTTTCAGGATTTATGCCCCTGGGTGAATAATCACTCCTACCTAAAGAGAAGCTTAAAAAATATTCCAATTGCTGCCTTCTCCACCCACCACTCCCTAAATGTTTTCTTCAAAGATTTTTTTTTTTTTTTAGGCCAATAGAAATTTCACTTTCTACTCTTTGATTCACAAAGATACCAAGTAGTAATAAGTAGAGCAAAATTCTGAAAGTTTATGAATACATATTTCAATGTATATAATTTAATACAGTATTTCTATTTTATCAAGCCAACAATACAATATGGTGGAGTTTTAAAGTTCTAAAAACTAGACTGTCTTAGAAAAGGATCTGAGGTCTGCCGTTTATTATCACCATGACCATGGGCAATTTGTAAATCTTTGAGTTTTATTTTATTTAGAATATGAATAATAACTAATAGCTAATTTGTAATGTTATTGGAAGGATTAAGTGATACACTTAAATGTTTGGCACTGTACTTGGAACATCAAAATTACTCAGAAAATTTAAGCTGTACCAGCTGCATTCAATGAGACGAATAAAAATGGAAAAAGCCTATGGTGAGCAAAAAAGATCCTAAAAGATGCTAAATCACTCTCAAAAAGAAAAAAAGTATTTTTATTTTAGGAAAATTCACCCCTTCTCCTGGCTAAAAGGGCAGGGTCCAGATTGCTAATTATGAGGATTGAGCATACTGCCGTGAAAACAAATCCGTCAACGAACAGCTGGGTAGCACAAGGCTTCTGCACAGGGTGAGCTTCAGTTAGCTCTCTGCAGCACTTGGCCTTGCTAAGGGTAGATGGTTGGCTCAAAAGAAAAAGCTCCAAGACAGGAAACTGTATTCTCCTTTTTGTTGAATGCACTGAAATTTGGGATGAAGAAATTTCCATTCTTGAAGACTTAGTGTTGTGAGTTTTAAGGAGACAATAAACATGGGAACTTTGTGATTTAATTGAAAAAAAAATTGCACCTGACAGCTCCAGTGTTTCTTTTAGTATTTTGTGTGAGTATTTCTTGCACACACTTCATGATGGTAAAATTTTTCAGATCTTTGCACAAAATAGAACTATAAATTTGGATTTCTTTGATATGCATTCATCTTTTGAGCAGTCGATTTAAATGTTCATACTTTTGTAAAAATATAGATTTTAAATACGAAGTCCCCCTAATGTGGCCTATTTTCAATCAATCTGACTCTTTGATAGTTTTGAATCTAATGAAAACAATTGCTTTCAGGTTTGGTGAACTAAGTTTGATTTCCCCACAGCTTCTCAGAATGGGGACAACAATATTCTTCTACTTTTACTTGCAGTAAACATGATGTAAAAACATAAATGTGCATTTTCAATATTCTAAACTAAACCTTAAGAGATCTACTACTGCTACTGTTGGTGACAAATTGCTAGAGGAGGGATCAGGAAATAAATTCCCCCCCCCTCCCCGCAAAAAAAAAGGATTCCCTGTCCTCTATTTGTTCGTTCATTTATTTATTTATTTATTTATTGAAAGAGAAAGTAAGAAGGGAAAGGAGCAATATCAAAGGTGAGTCTCTCCCATTCCAACAAAGAATTTGTTTTTCTCTCCTAGGATTTCCTTACCGTATCCTTGGCGCATTTACAGTGGCTTTGTGGAACTGTCCAACATTACAAAAGAAACTTATTTTTCAGAAATAAGAGAGATTATTATTCACCAGAAATATAAAATCACAGATGTTGGTCATGACATTGCCTTAATAAAACTTCTGGCGCCCTTGAATTATACTGGTATGCAGCATATTTAAGGGAAAACTAAATGACTTGTATTGGTTTAAAGTTTCACAGCATTTCTAGTGAGGGGACAGATCTGGAGAGACTATTCTCTAGTTGGTGGAGTTGTGGGGAAGGAGAGTGGTTGTGAAGGTAGGGAAGATCCTATGGCTTGACCTAATATATCTTTCTACTTAAGGGGACAAGAAATGTTAATTCGTTTTTTCATGGAGGGATGCAATTGCAGATACATCGTCTTTGCCATCTGGGAACAGAAGAGTAGCAGAAGTACTATTGCTAAGGCTTAGGATTATTAGGGATATAGGAGGATAAGTGGAACCAGATGTTAATTTCCAGGAATCACTTGGGTAGAGAACAGAATGATGCAGAAGGCAGCTCTGGGAAGACCAGACCATCACCGTTGGCTTTGGAGGTGCTGTGCTCCACAGGAGCTGAATGCCTGCTAACACAACTCATTGTTAATGTCCATTCACAACTATGTGACCTCCAGCAACTTGCTGAGCCTCCTTGTACCTCAAATTTCCTCGTCTATAAAATTAGGACGATGATCTCCTCAATGGTTTATTATAATAATTAAGTAATGAAATGTGGTAAAACACTTCCTGAAACAGTGTAGACACTTTTTGCCACCACTATTAACTAGTCAAGCATACACTGAATAAGACACAAGAACTGCTAAATGCTTTTGATGGTAAATTTGCACTGTGAGTTTTTCATTTGTTCTGGGAAATTTTAATGTCAAAATGACATGGGAAAATTATGCTGATGTTGAGAAATTTTCTTAAATCATGGATCCGAGAAGTTGTGCAGACAGTGGGAGGGTCATTCTCCATATTCTTCCGTGGTAAGAAAATATAGGAAAATATAAGGATGTATTTTTAAAGTCAATATCTATAGCTTTATTTAACTCAACTCTGGTTTTAAAATTTGTTTCAGAATTCCAAAAACCAGTATGCCTACCTTCCAAAAATGATGCAAATACAATTTATACCAACTGTTGGGTAACTGGATGGGGCTTCGATAAAGAAAAAGGTACAGCCTGGCATTCTAAAGTTTGCTCCTGAAGCCAGTCTCATAACACATAAGTGAATCAAATTAGTCAGTTTCTGTCTAAAAATTTTGTCCAAACTTATGATCTTTCTACTCTATTTATTACCAGATGTTTGTTCAGTGATTTTTTTTTTTTTTTTTGGTGGGGGGAAGGATACTGGAAATTGAACCCAGGGGCACTTAACCACTGAGCCACATCCCCATTCCTTTTTAACATTATGTTTATCGACAGGGTCTCACTGAGTTACTTAGGGCCTTGCTAAGTTGCTGAGGCTGGCTTTGAACTCGAAATCCCCCTGTCTCAGCCTCCTAAATTGCTGGGATTACAGACATGCACCATTATGCCCAGCTGTTCAGTGATTCTTGAGAAGATACTTTTGCTGCGTCCTGAAAAACTTTATAAGCTAAACTTTTACGCATCTTATTTCATAATAAAGATGATTTGCTTGACTGCACAAAGAGCAGGGCCCCTATAAGGTCCATAAGCCCATTGAAGTGCAACTCATTCTCAGTATCAACAGTGTTCCTGACTCTCCTATTATGTTCTCCCTTGATATTTTGATCAGTAGCACAGGCCAAAATGACAGCCTTTCTTTATAACCAATTCTTAGTATTTTTTTCCATGCATTCTTCCTGCAATCTGGTGATGCCTATGAGCTGCCTCACTAGTCATGTTTAAATAATAAGTCACACACAACTAGAAAGAAAGCCAATTATATTGCAATACAATTATCAAAATACATCAAAAGATGTGATAGTGCTATATGTGCTTTTTAATTGGTGTATTAAATAAAAGCTGTTTTATTTTTTATTTTTTTAAAGAGAGAGAGAATTTTTAATATTTGTTTTTTAATTGTCAGCGGACATAACATCTTTGTTTGTATGTGGTGCTGAGGATTGAACCCAGGTCGCATGCATGCCAGGCGAGCGCGCTAATGCTTGAGCCACATCCCCAGCCCAAAGCTGTTTTAATATTAGCCATAATTGTGCAATAGTGAGGAGCACATATATTTTCAGTTATCTTCCTGAAACACCTAAACCTCTGTCATCCCTGTTGATGACCAAGTTAATGGTGCTGCTGATACTACTGTGTGTGTGGTCTACACTTATAATTGGAGGGCGTGTTAGACTTGGAGATTAGGAAATATAAAGATGTATATTTTTTCTGAGTTTATGCAACATATGATTCTTTTATAGACTCTAGGTGAAGATCCTCTGCTCATAGATACTTGGAGTATTTCGATTGCCCTTGAACTTTTCTAGAAACATAAGATTCTTCCTTTCCAAAAATTAAGTTCCCAATAACACTATAGGAAAAAATATTTGTGTCATTCTTTGCAAAAAGAAAGATAGCTGACTAATCTTGTTCTCTCTTTCTTGAATCATCCCTCTATTCAGCTAATTCAAAATTTTAACATTTTTTTCACTAGAACCTTGAGAGAGGAAGAGTGAAAGTAACTTTAACTACACAAAGAAAACTTCCAATGTATATCCAATGGATTTGGGTAGAAATCAAGTTATTCATAAATAAATTGTACTTCATGGAAAATGTGTTTGTATTCAAAGTACAAAATACTCCTCTGTTGTCAGAGGTTTGGGATTTATTTCACAAATGAAGTATTTTTGTATTATAATCTTGCATATTTAAATATTAAAATATAAGAATGCCCATATTGGTATTGTAGGCAATAAATGTACAAAAGAATTTCTGAGGGACTTCTGTTGAGGTGAGAGGATGGTAGGTAACATGAAAACAGAGCCCTTGCTCAGCCTGGGTTATGGATTGTAGAAATGAAGGCCAATATAGGGTGCTCTCTGCGTGTTCTCTGTCTCCCTTCTGGACATTTACTGTCTGTATCCAAAAATATGACCCTGATGAGAAATGTACAACCCTTCTTTGCTTTAAGACTTTAATCTTATGAGAAATGTACCACCCTTCTTTGCTTTAAGACTTTAATCTTATTTCCATATTTATTGCATTTCCTCCTCTGAAGTTATATGTATTTATTACTTTGTAGGTAAAATCCAAAATATTCTACAAAAGGCAAATATTCCTTTGGTAACGAATGAAGAATGCCAGAAAAGATACAGAGATTATGTCATAACCAATCAGATGGTCTGTGCTGGCTACGAAGAAGGGGGCAAAGATGCTTGTAAGGTATTGCATTGGGGTGGGAAAATACCAGTTTATGTGAGGTAATTCATTTCAAGGTACTATTTTCCAATAGCACATTTCATGACAGATTTTTGAAAATTTAGAGACAAATGATCTGATGATTTTATAACCCTTTAACAAGTCAAATATACATATAATGTACATCAGATATTATTTCTGACATATATGTCACAATCTTCATATATGTCACAATCTGTACATGTGCATGTTAAACTTAAAGAGAACAACTGTATATACTATAATAATAATACTAAAACATACATAAGAACATTAGATTTCTTTGACTTTGGGATAAGGTTGTAGATAATTTCTAGATTATAGTTAAAAACCTCAAAATGGGTGAGGGAATAAATTAAAAATGCCACCCTGCACTGATTTTTACTACACACAACAGCTAACAAGGAACACAAGAGGGCCTGAGAATTCCAGAAACTGAGTGTGCTGTATGTGCTATGTGAAGTGGGACTTCAGAATTTTAAAGGCAAAAATTTATTTGAATCACCTCCATCGAAACCTTCTACCATTTTATTTTTCTATCCTCTGTGACACAGGGAGACTCCGGTGGTCCCTTAGTCTGCAAACAGGGTGGAATGTGGCAGTTGGTGGGCATCACCAGTTGGGGGGAAGGCTGTGCCCTCAAGGGACAACCTGGCGTCTACACCAAAGTTTCTGAGTACTTGGACTGGATTTTAGAGAAGATGCAGAACAGCGACAAAGGTGCTTTGATGAAGTCATCGGCCTAAGGAGGCTGGACAGTGAAGAGAACCCAGGGTTGTTTGAAGGAGAACCCAGGGTTGTAACTCTAGTTTTACATCCTGGGATCTAGTCAAGTTCTAAGCCTTGGAGTCCTCACCTGAAAAACATGGAGAGGAGTGTCTACCTTGCGTCCTTGTCGTAAGGATCAAAATTAAAACAAACAAACAACAACAAAAACAGGAGGTACAACAGCTGTGGGGACAATGCCTTGCTGAGATTTGCTTTCAGTATTCAGTAACCAGGAGCTCCTAATGGGAGATCACTGAAGAACTCTGCCATTTTGTTGTGAAATCGAACACCAAAAGAGCACAATTAGAGTGTTTCCTTCTGGTTTTGAAACAGAACTGACAATAAGTGACTCTGGATTGAAGCACAGTGCTTGGGATCACCCTGATCTTCCTGCTTCCCCTGGAACTCAATATGTCTCAGAGATATAACTTGTCCATGCCTCACCTGCCGACTCATTAGGACCTAATGCTGCCTTTGTCCTTTGGGTGAAGAGCTAGGAAGCTCAAGTTTTGTTCTGCCCAGTGGATGAAGGAGATATGTGTAACATTCCCTTTGACAATAAAAACATGGTTTCATTTCAGGCCCCTATCTCTGCGACCCCAGCATTGCCACAGGTGTCCAACGTTGATATGCAGATGAGGATTGAAGGGCTGCATTTTCCTGGTTGCAGAGCCTGCAATAGACTCACTGCAGAGCCCTCCTGGAAACCAAGAAATCTGCTTTGCAAAGAACATTAACCCTGGCAATGGATATCAGTGAATATTAGTTTCTGCAATAGTAATTCAAGAAGCATTGTTAGATATATCATGTATCATAGAATACAGACATGTAAAATCATGGTCGTGAGTAGTCATAAGTGACTTTGGAAAGAATGATATAAATCCTTATGCAATGGAAATCCCAGACTTGTTGGCAAGTCCCACAATTGATTGGAGGTACCTTGATTCATTTCAGTTAAGCTGGTTAACATTTACACAGAATCGACCATTTATAAAAGATTATGTAAGCTAGGTAGAAAAATAGAAAAGTGCAGTTTTCTAAAAGTGATTGACTTTTTCCTTTTTCCATACTCAAAGACACATTGACTGGTAGAAAGAGCTAAAGATGGAGAGGCTGAAAGAAAGTCATGAGGTCCAGATTATCCACAGACCATGCAATGGGAAAATGAAGGGTCAAGAATTTATTCCAGAAGCAAAATGGTTTTTGTAAAACCTGGCTAGATTGCATGAATTGATTTTTAAAACATATTATAATTTCAACTTTTACTTTTGATTGCAATAAAGGTATTAGTCTTGTTCTGCGTGGAAGTTGTTTATATTTAAAAGGGAAGAAAATGTTTGCAATAAAATCTTTTATCTCGGTTTTTTTTTTGTATTGATAATTACAAAGGGTTTAAATAGGACTTTGGAGTGTCTACAGGGTAAATGCCTGGGCTTTGGTTGCTCAAGGAATGGCCTTGTTTGGGGCAAGGGTTTGATTCCCAGCAGCATGCAACAATAAATAAAGGTCCATTAACAACTAAAAAAAAATATTTTAAAAAATATTAAAAAAAAAACCTTGAGAATTTTAAAATGTGGGACTTTCCTAAGTCATAAATGATCATTTTAAGGTTTCCAATTGAAGTCTCTTGGTACTGGGATGTTCTCTTTGGCTTTCACCATATGTTCATGGTTAACAGAGGAGCCCTTCAGACAGTTATGAGCCTCATGGAACCCAGAAGCATGTAAGAGGCTAAGAAGTGAGAGGTTGGGATGATGTCACCTCACAAGGAACAGTGAGGGTAGAGGCGTGGGTCTTTAGCAGTTCCAGCCAAGAAAGGGCGGTGGCAGAGCCAACCCTGAAAACTAGCACTGCTCTTGCCCTGTGCCAACAAAATGCACATGGAATACACAGTGCTGCACATACCATCTCACAGGAGGGTAACCAACCAATGACTCCAACATCTGTCTAATTAAACTTGAAACTTTTTCTTGTAATTATCATTAATGTCTAAACTTCTCCACCAAACTGTGAGCAACTTCAAAGGAGGCTTTCTCTCATTCTACCGCATATGAGAGGACGTGCTGAGGTAAATAGCTAATAAATCCATTCTTATTATAAAGCCGAGTCAATGGAGGCTTAAAGAGGTAAAAAGATTAGCTCAAGGTCACTGTCAAGGACAACAGCCAGGACTAAGCTTAGCATTCATATCCCCAGATGATGCCTTCTAAGACTATATCATGTGATCTCATACTAAAAGAAGGATAAAAGAGGGCAGAACCATTTTATGACCATCATCAGTTATTATCATTATTATCCAAGACCATTGTTCTCAACCAAGGATGATCTGACAATATTGACATTTTGGTTGTTACAACTGGTGGAGGGGGTGTAACCAACTATAGCAGGTAGAGGCCAGGGATGCTGATGGATATGCTGCAATGCCCAGGACAGCCCCCACAACAAAGGACAATCTGGACCCAATATCAATAATTCCTGCATTGCTGCAACCCTGATCAAAGTTGAGTATCAAAACTTGATAATAGGGATGGGGTTGTGGCTCAGTGGCAGAGTGCTTGCCTAGCATGTGTGAGGCACTGGGTTTGATTCCCAGCAGCATGCAACAATAAATAAAATAAAGGTCCATTGACAACTAAAAAAATATTTAAAAAAATGATTTAAAAAAACCCTTGATAATAAAAAGGGGGAATTTCAGGGACAGCATCAAGATGGAAGTGCAGGGCATGGTAGGCCATGCCCTTTCCAAAGGGAGTTTTGATGAGAGAGAGTATAGGCACTCCAAGAAGAAGTGGGTTGTGGCTATGAGTGAGAAGAGGACTCTACCAGGAGACAGGATTTTAGGTCACAATATGCCCAGCACATCTCTCACCTATGTTCCTAACTTATGATTTACACTTGAATATCTTTTGACTAAATTTTGAATTTTTTTCTTGTGATTTTTGCCTAGTAATTTCTGAGTTTGGTTGGGCTTAAAAATATTTCACAGAAAAAAATAATCACCTTTACAATAAAAGTAGTTTATCAGAATTTTAAGCTGCAATGCATTCACTGAGAAGAATTTTTAGAATTCCTACTGTCAGTTTGAGAGAAAGTTCTATTTTTAAAAAATTTCATGCAGTTAAGAATCTTATTATACTTTGATTTCAATAGAGAACAATATTTCAGAGTTTTTATGCTACTTCAAAGGCTTTAGAGATTTCATTAACTAGCTAAATCAAATTTAGAAGAATCGTATCTGGTTTTCCAGTGAAGCATTTCTCACATTTAAAATCTTTGATTATCTTAATAGGATTAGAGAATTATTATTATCTTCTTTTTATAGGACTTTAGGGGGAAAAATGGAGGTTTATGGGAGAAACCATATAAGAGGAAAGGTCTATAATCTTACATATCATGGCCATGATAACCTTCCCTAGCATAAGTTTGCCGTTCTGTTTTGAGTCTCATAAAAGGCCAGACTTTATCTATATGAGCCTTTTGTGTAGCTGGAATGTACTTCATTTTAAGTGGGAAACTCAAGATAATAACTAAGGACTTTTTATGCCAACATGGGTTACAATGCATTGGCAATAGATCAAATAAAAACAGAGGAGCAGCCTTTACATACAAAACAACAACAACAACAACAAAAAAAAAAAAAACCAGGACATGAGCACTTCTTTTAAAGACCTAAGTTCAACAGCCTCTCCCTTGTACCTTTCTGTCCAAAGGAACAAAGGCTGTCTTTTCTCTTCCTTTCAAAAATGCTCCCATCAATTTATAGCTAAGTTTCAAACATACCTTTACTTTGCTGCCTATTTTCTCATTGTCTTCTAGTAAGTTCTTTTTTGCCCCTATATTTCCCATTCTGTAGGACTTTGCGAAAGGGTCAGGCAGTATTTCCCCATCTTGGACCATCTTTCCACTTAGTCTTTGGCCTCGAGGGCTTGGGTAGCCTGACCTGCAGAAACTATTCAGAAAGTCCAGGGCAGCATTGCTATGATATTCGGGAAATGAGATTGCCTTTCTATGCCCTCAAATACTGAAATGCTTAGAGTCAACTGGTGACATTGTCAACTGTCAACCTGCAGAAACTATTCAGAAAGTCCAGGGCAGCATTGCTATGATATACGGGAAATGAGATTGCCTCTCTGTGTCCTCAAATATTGAAATGCTTAGAGTCAACTGGTGACATTGTCTAGGTTCACCAGATCACACTCAAAGTCCCTGAACAAAGTCCAGTGTTCCCTTTGGTACACATCACTTCGGCATGATCTCTAATGGGGACAAACTCATATATTCATTTCTGTCCTGGTCTCCAGAACATTTTTGAAAATTATGATTCCATTTGTAAAATCTCAAGATCTTTTTTAGCTTTCCTATGGAAAATTGGGAACTTTCTCTGAACCATAAAATTTAGCTTTCTCTAAAATGCATTGAAATGGGACATATTGCCCCTCTCCACCTTTTTTTGTTGGATCATCACAACAGAAGGGCTAGTGAGTGTCTAATGGGGACTGAGTCCCAGAGAAATAAAGCAGCATGGCCCAGGACCCACAGGTAGCTGGTTTATAGTGTAGCTACCTGGTGTTTGCTCAAGTGACATGACCAGTAAACTAACAAATAGGTCTGGGTAATAGAGGACTGGATTATCACCATGTCCACAGAGCTCTCAGCCCTTCTTCAAGCTCCATAAGAAGGGTCATAACTGAAACACAGGGTGGGAAGCTCAAAAAAATACTTGTCAGCTTTCTTTTCCATAGGTGGCAGCAAGCCACCACTCCCCACCCCACCCCTGCTGTAACAGGCTCCTTGTCCTTCAAGGAATTGAGGTATTGTTTTATTATTGCTTGTCACATCATTCCTAGTTCTCCATTTGTGTCTCAATATCAATATACCTCCCCCCCCAAATAAAAACAAACTATGAGACTTTTATATTTTCTTCTTAAAAACATTTTTAGACAGTGTTCATAAATGAGATAATAAAGAATTTGAATTCTTAGAACTAATCATATCTGTATAGGCTTCCGAAAAGTGATGTTATCCTAAAGGAAAACTAAATCTTTAGATCAGGACTTTACTTTCTACCTAGACCTAGCCCCACAATAGCTGGTCTCCGTTCTTCATACACTGCAAATCTATCAGTCCATCAGACTTTCTGTGTTTTCTTAGTAGATTCTGGGATTGAACTTTGGCTGGAATTAATGGTTAACAGTTAATAATGACCAGTGTGGCTAAGTGCAGCTTCGGCTAGCAGGCATTCTAGATGTGAGTTTGCTCAGCTGCTAAAGCAAATTCAAGTTCTCTAGCTGTCTCTGTGTGTGTCACTTGTCAAGTATACAATAAAAAGATCCTAAATAAGTTTAGTGTATTGAAAAAGCTAGTTACTCTCTTAAGGTACATTTCTGATACACAGAGTTTTTAAAGACTTTCCTGGATATGCTGTATGAAAGGTTACTTAACGTTAAAAACCAGGAAAAATAAATATTTGAGTGAGCATACCTACACATGCTTATTTAGGAAAGAATAAAGACCCCTTTGGAAGAAGAAAAACACCCTTATTGAGAATTGCAGCAAATAAGCAAACAAGGTATTTTCAGGTATGATTTCAAAAATTATTACTTAACATTTCTCTTAAGCAATTATGCCTTGAAATGTTTTATTTTTCCTGCAATGGGGGTTTTAAAATATTTGCAATAGAGAATGATAGATTTTTAATATGTGTTTGTTTTCGCATTTTTACTTAATATATGTATAATAAATTTGAGGGAAGCATAATGAAAGAAGAGTGAGAGTTTATACTCAAAAATAAAGTATTTTGCAAATTAAAAAGACATTCTAGAGCAACCTTGAAGGATCAGAAGGATTGACTTATCTCTTAGGCCAGTTCATTTTTCACAGAACAACGCTATCAGTGCTTAGTTGGGGTAAGTGCATCTGTAGATAACTAAGTCAATCTGCTAATGTCTTCATTTGCCCTGAATTTTTTAAAATAGAAAATAGAAAATGTTATAAGTAAGAAATTGCTCAGAGACCTTTAAGAGATATAGAAAGAGACCTCAAATATGGAAAGAAAGGACATGAACTGGAAGAGAAAGTAAAGTTGAAAATTCGGGGTGAGGAGAACAGATGGTCAGAGCATCTGATTAATAGTGAGCTGGAGGTGGAGAGAGGGCCGGAAGAAAGGCAAGGGAGAGAACCTGCCCTGTTAGTTTGGGCTTCTACAGGGCTGTGACAAGGTGTGGAATGCTACACACCCACCCTGATGAGGACTTTCAGAAATTTTGAAAAGATAAAATTCAGAATCATGATAGGATCCCTGTGAACTCTATTTAATTTACTACTCCCTTCACTTCTTGTTTCTTATAAATTCTGATGTCAGTAAAATAATTATATAAATATATATACATATGTAATATAACATGTATATAATTATATGTATGCATACATATATATATAAAAGAGAGATCTTATTATTTATTCATTTATTTATTTATTGGTATTGGGAATTGAAAATAGAGGTTTTTTACCATCTGAGTTATATCCCCAGCCCTTTTAATTTTTTTCATATTGAGACAGGGTCTCATCAGTTGCTTAGGACCTTGAACTTGCAATTCTTCTACCTCAGCCTCTTGAGTTGCTGGGATCATAAGCATGTGCCAAGACATAAATGGCATAAATATACTTTTCATGTTCTAAAAACGTGCACATTTTTCTCTTTGTAGGATGATCTTATTATGCCAAATGGTACATTTCATTTTATTTGCCTCTGTTTCTGGTGGTAAGTAAATCTTTAAGAATGGACTGGAAATAGCTTAATTTATTGGTCTGTAGAGTGGGAAACAAGAAAACTTAGGTCTAAGAGAGAAAATTGCAATATGAGCTGCAAACATGTAAATAAATCCCATGCTATTTACTCCAGAAAACAAAATAAATTGTTTTATTTATCCTTCACTTAAACCTCCAGGAGTTTTCAAAGCAGGTGAAGAATAACAGTAGAAATCTATATCTATAGCTGTATCTATATTATATTTTTATCTTCATACATCTCCATCTACCTACTTAACACATATAAATGATAATGAATAATAGCATTAAAAAAGCAGAAGTCTTGATTTGCCTCATTGATATTTCAGTTTTCCATAAGCAGTCAGTCAGTTCAATAATACAAACACTGAACAGTGACTTTGGCCTGAAAAATGTCATACAAATATGCATACATAATTTATGCATTTCAATAATATATTGATGTTAATTCTCCACCCTATGTTTCATCCACTAAATTTGTTTATAAATTACTTAACCAATATTCAGTAGAACATATTAATATAAGTACTTTTAGACCCCATGTTTATTCTTTATTCTTATGAAAACATAAGCATTCCTTTAAAAAATTACTTAGGCATATTGCATTTAATTTCTAACTATTGTTAAACTTTTGCCAACTTAAAGACCTTAAAATAAGTCTCAACAAATTTCAAAGTGTGAACATTATACAGAGCATGAACATTATGCAGAGCATGTTATTCAGTTACAGAGGAACTGAGTTAACAACTAAAAAGGTAACAAAAATGTAGCTGGAAAAAATCCTAAATGTTTAAAAAAGTTAATGTTGAAATACTGAAAACTTTCCTAAAGGACTTGGGATAAGACAAGATTACCTGTTGTCACTTACCTTAAATATTGTTCTGGAGAACCCAGTCAGCAAAGTAAGGAAAGAAGAAGAAATAAAAAGTAAAAGATCAGAAGAAAATTAACTCTGTTCAGAGATAATTTGATTGTGTACCTAGAAAACTCCAAAACAATACCACATAAATGATTATAGTTAAATTTAAAAAGAAATCTGAATGCAAATTCAATACTCAAACCAACAAACAAAAACTCATTGATTTTTAGTGGAACTAAACATCATGTTTGGATTTTAAAAATCAGTCTGCCTTTGAAGTTAAATGATCCAATTAGTAGGAGATATAGCCTAAGAAAATGACCACATTTATTGTTTTAAAGTCTACTAAATTTACTAAGTAATTAATATTCTTATTCAAGTAATATTTTAATGTAGAACAATTGCTTTGTATCAGAAGCATAACACATGGTCAATAGAAATACTTTGAGGTGAGAACACATCCTCAGTTCTTGGGAGGCTACCATACAGATGGGTTGGAATGAACAAAGAACTTGGGGAAAGGCAATAAATTTCCAAGTCATTCTTGAAATACTTGCCATTTGGTGGGGGATCATGCTATATTTGGAGGTTATGTGTATGCTAGGTCTGTGACAGGGACCTTGATCTCCTTCACTCCCACAGATCTCTATGATGGTTCAGTGAACACTGTAGATTCCATTCTTGGAGTAAATATTTCCAAACACATAAACTAAAAATGGGTAGGATTATTGAGAAAATCAATTACATGGAAATATAATTATTTTAATTGTAAAAAAATGTGATATGAGAAATGGATGCAGTTCTTAATCACTGTTTTATGTAACAAGATGCAATGGTGGGCTTAAAAGTAGTGAGACAGATAAGGAAGATCTGAAATGTCTGCAACTTCAGTACTTTTAAAAAATCTGATTGTTATTATGAAAAAGTCACCGATACCATGAATACTAATGTAGTCTGTTGCTTATGTTTATAATCGAAGGCAACATTCCAATTAGATGTTAGTAAAAACAAAGATAAAATTTTCCCTCACCAAGTTCATAGACTGATTCCTATAAGCCTCTTGTAATAGTTTTAACTGCTTTATACTCAACTTTTTTTCCCTAGATATTTACATCATAATGGTTGTTATATTTTATTCTGCGTGAATATTTCCATTTGGGTTGTGATTTTTTTTTAAGATTTTTTGTTTGTTTTTTTAGTTTTTTTAAGTCTTTTTTTTTTAGAGAGAGAGAATTTTTTAATATTTATTTTTTAGTTTTTTGGTGGGCACAACATCTTTATTTTATTTTTATGTGGTGCTAAGGATTGAACCCAGCGCCCCGCGCATGCCAAGTGAGCGCGTTACTGCTTGAGCCACATCCCCAGCCCCTGCATGTGATTTTTTAACATTAGGGAAAAAAGGGTGCACAGCAGTACCTCTCACTAGGAATATGGCAAGATTAAAAACTACAACCTCAATGACTAAGAATCAAATGACCTAAAAATGTTACATACCATGTGGGATGTTAGATCTCTTATAACAGGAAAAAGAATTTAAATTTTACACAATGTAGCTTTTCAATAGTGAGATGTCATTCAGGCAAAGGTGCCATTTTGTGATTTCTTTTCCCCCATCTAAGGCCACTCATTCAAGAAACTGACATGAAAATGTTGTTTGCTTTGATATCCAAGTTCAGGCCCACCTTCTGTTAAGTAGACCTGTTTGCCTTGCCTCTGTCAGATTATTATCTCACTAGACACATGCCCAGGAAAATCCATGGTAACTTGTGCCATGTGTTGCCTCTCAGGATGTGTGACAAGGCTGTTCAAAGACTCCTACTTTCAAGGAGGGGACATTGCTACTGTGTTTACACCGAGTGCCAAGTACTGCCAAGTGGTCTGCACCCACCACCCAAGATGTTTGCTCTTCACTTTTATGGCTGAATCGTCAGCTGAAGATCCTACCCAATGGTAAACACTGATGTTTTCACACAGAGGAACTAGATTCACAGGCCAGTTACCTACTAATAAGTTTCCATCTATCATTTCATATAATGTACAGTTAACAACCTGAAAATCAATTGACCTTCAGTTGAAATATTAAATATGACAGAAAAATGTTATTTAGGCAGATTAGGGGGGGAATATTAATGCTTTTGTGTGGCTTTTCCAGTCTCTTAGGGTCTCAATAGTAAGGGTGCATTTTTTTCCCTTTTGCTTGACTTTTATCCATCTTCATCTTTCTGCTTTTCTATTAATTGATACTATTTAAGTGAGAAGTTTCTTCCAACTATTAGAAAAATTAAACATTGATAAAGATGATTTTTTTAAATAATGCAATAATCCCCAGCCACCAAGACTTCCTTTACCCACCTATATATGTACATATGTCTAAACATTTCAAGTAATTTTAAGACATCATGACATTTCATCTCTAAGCACTTTAATGCACATTATTTGGGGCTGGGATTGTGGCTCAGCAGTAGAGCGCTTGGCTAGCATGTGCGAGGCCCTGGGTTCAATCCTCAGTACCACATAAAAATAAAGACAATAAAGGTATTATGTCCAAAAACTTCTAAAAAAAATGTTTAAAAATTTTTTTAAAAATACATTATCCTACCCAAACGAAAAAAAACTTAACAAGAATAATTTTATATCATCTCACTCGTCCACCAAATGTAATTTACAGCAATTAACTAGAATCTCATCAAAATTACAAATTGCAGTTGGTTGTTTTATAAAACACTCTGGCTGAATTTTTAAATCTTCTAACATTTCACCCAGCACTTTTGTTAACAAGGTAAACTCAAAAATTCAGTAATTAAGGCTTTCTGCAAATTTAAGTTTCCAACATCTTTGTGTATAATGCTACATCCACAGATATTTATATAGTATCCTGAACTTACAAAGCTTACAGAAATCTAGAACAGAGATCAGCAAGCATTTTATTAAAAAGGCAGAGAGTAAATGCTTAGTCTTTCCATGTCCAAAGGCAAAATCAGGGACATCATGTAAGTACATCATGTAATCATTTATAAAGATGAAAACCGTTCTTAGCTCTTGGGTATTACAAAAACAGGCAGATTTTCGGCAGTATTTTAGCAACAGGCCATAGTTCACCCACTCCTGTTTGTTGCTTGTTAAGGAATATCATATGTGGTCTTTTAAATGTAGCAATGTTGAAATGAAAAACAGAGTCACAGTCTTGCTCAGAAAATATTTGTTTGGACTAAATATTTGTTTTGGCAAGAGATGTTGGTTTCCTCCTCTTTGGCTTTCGGTGTGATTTTAAGACCTGTTATTTTAAAAAACATATTTCCACCTGCTAATGCTATTTCTAAAAAAACAGGTTTACCTGTGTCCTAAAAGACAGTGTCACAGAAATACTGCCAAGGGTGAACATGACAGGAGCGATTTCTGGATATTCTTTCAAACAATGCCCACACCAATTAAGTGGTAAGTCTTGTTGGAATTGATCAACACTGGCTATTATGACAATGCATATAATTATATCAGATATGGTTTTATGGCTATAAAACAAAAAAAATCTGCTATGTGGGAATAAATTCTTCTATTGAAGTTCTTTCAGTGTAAAAACACACATATATGCCTCCCCACCCCAAAGCAACACTGCAGTTTATTAGAATTTTTTTTCCTCATAAAAGGACTCAGTTTTCTTCATTCATTTATGTTCTTTCACCTTTCCAGCCTAAAAGCTTCATGGAAAGTCTTTATTATATATGCTAATTCAAATACTAAGACTGAATTGACACTTGTCTTAATAATGATAATTAAAAAATTCCCAGATACTTGAATAGGTTGATTATTGAAACAGAGTCAATGGAGTTTAGGAGAGCCTAGGTCAGAAAATCAAAATGCAAATTAACAAGTCTAAAATTGCTGCACTATGAAAAGAACTTTAGTAGTCCTAGATATTTTCATGTAAAGTAGGGATTAAGCACATTAAAATAAAAACAAAGGACTTCTGAGGAAAACTGGGTGAAGAGATTAAAAGTTCAAGTCAGAAGGGACTGTTGAAAAGTTAGAAATTTTACCATTGTCCCTGGGATCTGGATGGAGGCTTCCCATATTTCCCACTTGTGATTTCCAGCTTGCCACAGAGATGTTTACATGGACCTGGACATGAAAGGAATGAACTATAATGGCTCTATTGCCAAGAATGTTCGAGAATGCCAAGAGAGATGCACAAATGACATCCACTGTCACTTTTTCACATACGCAGGAAAGGATTTTCCCAGCACAGAGCATCGGTGAGTAAGCTAAAAGCTGACCTGAGGGAATGAAGACACCCAGAGAAAAACAAACTGCTGACTCGTCAAAAAAAAAACTTTCATCAATCTGAGGCTAAAATTTATTAACTCCTAAAAGACATTCACAGAATAGCATTAACTGCTTTTGTCATGAAAGTTCAGTTAAAGCCCAATTTGCATGAGTTTAATTTATGATATTCTGTCTTTTAATGACATTTTTATAAAACATGTGTGTATACCCATATCCTCGATAATTTCAAAAGTGCTCCATATTTAAATTGGCAATTCTGAAACAGTTACAATTGATCTGATTGCTAATTCTCTTCCCAGCCAAAAAGATGGTATAGTTTAACCCTATAGAGAAAAATAAGTAAATAAAAAAAAATCTACTCATCTATTCATCACTTCTCTCAAGCTGTCATTTTACGGATGAGGAAATAAAAGTTTGCAAAATTCACAGCATCCCTGAGGGCTTCATGGTGGTGCTAAGACTCAAGTCAGCTGCCAGTCACTTCTCAGAGGATGTTCTTTGGGGTTAATTCCTTAACTTCATGCTTAAGTCCTCTCTCCAAATGGTTGTTTCCTTTCTATCATCTCATGCTTTTTCCCACTTGCATTTGGAAGAATAAAATATTTTTCCATTTTTATCTTTATTCAGTAATATTTGTTTGCTGAAGTACACCCAAACAGGGACACCAACCAAAATAACGAAGCTCCGCTATGTGGCATCTGGATTTTCACTGAAATCCTGTGCGCTTTCTAACCTGGGTAACTACTGTTTTCTTAATGAGGTGGTTGAAAACCATTGGTTGGAACAAAGCTGATGATATGGGCAATGAGGCTAACTTTAGATACCTCTCTACACTCATTGATGAAATGGATCAGTGATCTTTTGCCATTTTTGTGTGGAAAAAAAAAATTTGTTACATCCTATATAGAGTTTATGTTTAAACTTCAAGTTTAAAGTAGTCACTTCATATTTTTTCTAAATTCAAAAAAAATCTTGGGGTAAATTTAAATATTTGAATGTGGAATTTACAAATACCGTGACTGGAATCTTCACTATTCCGCTGGCATATTGATTTCCTAACACGGATTCTCCTGTCATCTAGCTTGTATTAGGGACATCTTCCCTAGTACGGTGTTTGCAGACAACAACATCGACAGTGTTTTGGCTCCAGATGCTTTTGTCTGCCAACGCATTTGTACTCATCATCCCAGTTGTCTGTTTTTTACCTTCTTTTCCCAAGAATGGCCAAAAGAATCTCAAAGGTAAGGAGTTACAATTAAGGGTCATTTTTCTTTTTAAAACAGTGGATCAAAATCTGTCATGAAACATTCTGAGTAACTAAAAAAAAATTAATGTAAATGTCTATATTGGATTAAAATTGCAAAAAAATCCCTAGCTCCTCTCCCTTCTTATTCTGCACCTACTGACTGCAGATCCAATGTTGCCAAGGACTTTTCTTAATCTTCAGTTTGGGAGGTCTCTACTTGTAGCAGAGGGAGGGTTGTATAATTGTCCACAGAATGAAGATAATAATCATGACTGTTAAGAGGCAATTGAGTCTAACATCATTTGAAATAACTGAACCAGGAGCAGAAATGTCAGTGAAAGATGGGATCAATGTAGGGAAGGGATATAAGCCTACATCAAGAGTACTGGAAAAAATAAAAGAGTATTGGGGTGGTGGCAGAGAAAGATTCAAGCATGGAAACCCTGTTTCTCTACTGATGAAAGTTAACAAGGGAACCACATAAAAAGCAGAGGAAATTTCTTCCAACTTCAAAGGAATACTTGCTGGGGCTGTTACTCTTCACTAACAAGATTCACTTTTAAAAAGAAGTAATTTAATTTTAAAAACAATATTTTAGTCAGCATCAAACCTAGATGCTATATAGCTGAACTAGAACGCTCAGAGCCTTTGGCATTTGCTTGACCTGGTTGCCCACTGTTGAGGAGAGCATTACCCCCAGAGCATTCCAGCCAGGCAAGCTCTGGAGTCCTTTGCTCATTCGGTAAGCCTCGTTTCCTGTTGGGTGAGATTGCAATTTCAGGATCTATCACAGAAACATGTATCTGTTAATTTCATTTGCTAAACAAATTTAACACAATTTATTTGGTGCCTATTATATATCAGACATTTTTCTAGGTATACCGCCTAATGAACACAAACCTTAACTTCTTGGACCAGGATGGAGATGATAGAGTAGTGTTCAGATTGGGACATACTTTCATCTAGAGCCAATAAGGGTTGCTGATGGATTGGATGTAGTCTGTGAAGGAAAGAAAAAGTCCAATATTTGGGGCCCAAAGATTCAGAAGGATGGAAATACTAATAGCTGAGTTGTAGAAGATTTCATGAAAGGCAGAGGTCGGGGGAAGAGACACCTATTAGACATCTAGGGAAAAATATTGGATAGGCAATTGGAAATAGAAATCAGATTCAGAAGGGAGGTTTATGCTCCAGATCCCTGTTAGGGAATTCCCAGAATATAGATGATAATGCAGACCATCTCATAGGTGAGAACATCAAATGATTGAATGCAGACAGAGAAGAAAGGATGTCCAAAGATAGAGACTTAGAGCCTCAGAAAATTCAGAAATAGGAAGATGACTGTCATTTTATGATAATTGCTTCTCTTTTCCTTTGTCCTATTTGTTTCTTTTTATAAAGTTACCAATAAATATCTATGAAAGGAGCAATACATTTAATTCTTTTTTTTAGAGAGAGAGAAAGAGAGAATTTTTAATATTTATTTTTTAGTTCTCGGCGGATACACCATCTTTGTATGTGGTGCTGAGGATCGAACCTGGGCCGCATGCATGCCAGGCGAGCACGCTACCGCTTGAGCCACATCCCCAGCCCTACACATTTAATTCTTAATAGAGGGTTGATAGGCACCTGGTGACCACAAGGCAAGATTTGACTATTTAAATTTTAATGAATTAACTTAATCAATTAATTTAAATAAAGTTAAAAATTTAATCCCTCAACTGTACTAGTCACATTTCAAATGGTGGAAAGCCACACGTAGCTTGTGGCTTCTGCATTGCATGGCATAGAGAATTCAAGAAGGTTCTGTTGGACAACTCTGCTGAAGAGGGATTTTGTGCTGCCTAGGAAAAGGCACTCCCTTCAAGGAAGATGCTGCCAGAGTGCAGAGTCAACAAAGTATGTCACTCATCCACTTTTAAGCTGGACCAACCCTGGACAGGAGACTTCTAGGTAGCATGAAAATTCTTGATACTTTGAGATAGACTAGGAGTGTTGAAAGGAAGGAAATAAAGAAGGAGTATACTAGGAATACCGACAGTAGAGCAAGATCCGAAAGTTTTTAGAACTCCCAATGGCTTAGTTTTGAGATTTTTGTCTATAACACCCGAGTCATGGACTGTGACTCACAATCCATGAAAGAGACTTTCAAAATAGGAAATAGGAACATTTTCACGCCAATGTGAACTGTCCTTACTTTCAAGATATGCTGTAAAAAAGTTATTTTCCTCTGATGTGTGTTATGTGATATATTGATATCTCCCTTTTTCATATCAGAAATCTCTGTCTCCTTAAAACATCCGAAAGTGGATTACCAAGTACACGCATCAAGAAGAACAAAGCTCTTTCTGGTTTCAGTCTACAAACCTGCAGGCATAGCATCCCAGGTGAACCATGAGCATACTTTCTTCCTGTTGAGATCAACCATTCTCGAGGAGATGGATGTGTGGTTCTGTGTCTCATATCCGATATGTGATTTGTTATCTAGTCTTCTGTCATTCCTCATTTTACCATGACACTGACTTCTTGGGAGAAGAACTGGACATTGTTGATGTGAAAGGTCGTGAAGCCTGCCAGAAAATGTGTACTGATGTCATCCGCTGCCAGTTTTTCACCTACTCCCCACCTCAAGAATCATGCCATGAAAAGAAGTAAGACAAAGGGTCAAGTCCATAGATACACCCATCCCACCTCTTTGTGAAGGGCATTATGTTTATACTATTTTGTTTCCAATTATAGGGGCAAATGTTACTTAAAACTTTCTTCCAATGGCTCTCCGACTAAAATACTTCACGGGAGAGGAGGCATCTCTGGATATACACTAAGGTTATGTAAAATGGATAATGGTGAGTCTAACATCACTTGAAAAAAATATATCAGAAGGAGTTGTTCTACACTGAATGCGGCATGACTAAGGTAGTCAATAATAGCCACAGAGAGAAGAAATGGGGTAAAATAACAAATCTAGCAATTTTTTGTCATTTGTTTTCTTTTACATAAGCTAACCATGTTTTAACGGTATAAAATGATTTGACTAAATTTGACATTGCCTAGTACAAATTGAACATGTGTTTAAATTCAGAGCATTTATATGACCAGCACTTTATGATGAGATACAGACTCAGGCAACATTTGTATAACTGACTCTTGTTCTCAGGGCCAAGGATCTTTCTTCTTATTCTTGATGATTGAAATATCAATCATACCTTGGTAAATCAAATTATTCACTTTCCTCTCACTAAAGATCTTCACTGAAGCATAAGTAACCAGCATGTCTTAAAAATTATGCATTTATTCAAGAAATACTGAAGTAACTTGTTTTTCAGAGACTAATCATTCTTTCAGATTTCCCTGCAAAGTTCTGCAGACTTAAGAATACTGGCAAACATATATAAAATCTTTTTAATTTATAATAATGAGTGTGGTTGGTTGGAAGTAAAAAGATCATCCAGTTTATACAAAGCTTATAATTACATAAATAATAATAAAAATCAGCTCAGTACTGTTTCAATCCTAGCAGCTAATTTCTGAGGACAATAGCAAGAGATGGTTTGTTGGCAAATAGAATTGTTCTAAGGGACAGAATCCCATTGGAAAGAAGGTCCCACAAATACTTCTCCCTATATTATCATAACATCCTGTTAGACTATTTGTTTTGTTTAGTGTCTCAAATTTTAATGAACTATAAGATGAAACTGAGATTATTAAGTAAAATGGAAATGATATTCACATCTTGTAATAGTTTAGAAGTATAAAAATCTTTTGTGTCAGATTATGCACTATACTGAGAAAGTGACTCAATACTTAACTCTTGAGAACTTGTTCTGTAGCATATACAAATGTTATGATGTATCCAATATCAATATCCAAACTAGCAAACTATACCTTACTATATATAGTTCAGAGAGGCTCAGAGGAGAATCTTTGGGTGGCCTATGACTCTTTAGAAAGCAAGTCAATTAAACTGTTATCTCATATTTTCTCTATTTTCCTCACAATAAACTTACCTTAAAAGGATCACTCAAAATAATTCTGTTTTTTCTTAATTTAACTTCCTATCATTGGAAGCGGCACATAGCAAACTTCGTTAAGTGATGCTGCTATAGTTTAAAAATTGAACCCAACATTTACTTCGATAGCCATTTACTTTACTTGCAGATTCTATTCCTACCCCTCCTATTTCACTTTCTTCTCTGTTGAATTTATAGACCCTGACCAGTGGAAGTTATAGACTATATCAGGTATAGGTTGATAGCTCAGGAGAAAATAAGACAAACAAAATCTTACACATTTTTAGTGCAGCACCTTCTGAATTTAGTAACTAGTTTTTATTGCACTGTATTAGGTGAAATAACACCCTAATATAAAAGAGAAAATCTGAGCTTTTTATCATGTCCTGTCATTGATCCTTAATATAGTTTGTTATTGGAAGATACCTAACAATGCCTAACGGAAGCACTTCTTAATACCAAGTATAATGGTGAAAATCAAATTTTTAGAATTTTCTTTAAACTGAGAAATAAAATAGAATGAAAATCAAGATCTATGTCCTATACCTGATAAGCCTTTGATTGAGTTATTTATCACATATCTTAGTTATCACTTATCTATTAATTTTCCTAAACTTTGCATTTATGCCACTTTCCAGCTTGGAAATTATAAAGGCTTCCAAAAAATTCCAGGATATAGTTAAAATCTTCAAAATGGTCCCCCGAAACTAATTTCCACCCTATCCACTCTTAAATGAAAGTGTCTTTTCAGACATACAAAACCCCATCATGCTCATTCTCATCTTAGCTTGCTGTTGGCTGCTGTCCACAAAGTTTCTTCTCTTATTCCTTCCTTCAGTTTGACATTTACCCCAGAATCTTACACTCATTTTCCCATAAGAGAAAAAAAAAATCTAGAAAGGCAACTTTACACCCACAAAATTATCGAATAGACCATCTTCACTCTCAGAGTTTCTGATGTGAGGTGAGGCTCAAGAATTAACATTTTAAACAAGTTCCAAGGTGATGCTATTGGTCTGCAGACCACACTTGGCCAATACTGCATGAAAAGAACCATCAGTGAGACTACTTTGTGGTATCAGATGAGAGCAGCAGCAATTTTTGGAGCATGTAATTACAAGATGACTTGGCCATTCCACTTTCATGTGCATGTTTTGCTTTGTCAACTTAATGATGAAGTCTATTCCGCTCAGGGTCATGGTAAACTCTTGAACTGAAGGAAACTTTTCTTCCTTTTGTTCCTCATGGAGCATAGCCACTGGTGGAAAATGCAGACACAAGAAACTCTTTACTACAATCTTTCTGTTGTAGAGTGCACAACCAAAATCAAACCCAGAATTGTTGGAGGAACTGCGGCAGTTCAAGGCGAGTGGCCATGGCAGGTAACACTACACGTCATGTCACCTATCCAGAGACACCTCTGTGGAGGCTCCATCATTGGAAACCAGTGGATATTAACGGCTGCACATTGTTTTTATGGGTCAGTATAGTGCTATTTTTATTAGTTGGCTATCTTCAAGCCACTAGCATATTAACAAATACCTTAAAACGTAAATTATCCTATCCTATTTGTGACATGAATTTTTTACCCTTTTTAAACTTTAGTAGGAAAAAAAAAAAGCAAAAAGGAGGAACCATTCATGGTCTACTAGCATTAGAATGGGTGCCAAAACATGACGGTTCATTTCCAATGTAAATGCAAACACATCCCCCTACCCCACCTCCAGTCCAGAAAGGCTTCATTATGCATTCTCAAATTGGATTCCCTGGGTCACTTTCAACATTGGCCAGATATAAAAACTGCATCTGGGGGACTATATGAATGCATGTAACCCAGGGAATTTAAGTTATCAAACCTCCTCTTAGCTGCTTCAGTATCCCCTGAGTTGTCTTCAGACAGTTTTATGGATTTGCTTTAGTTATTGTTTTCTTATCGGTGTGTAGCATACTCATAACTCAAGAGGTCAGTAGTCCTCTTCACTTTTTTAAAAAAATATTTTTTTAGTTGCTGATGGACCTTTATTTTATTTATTTACACTCGGTGCTGAGAATCGAACCCAGTGCCTCACACATGCCAGGCAAGTGCACTACCACTGAGCCACAGCCCCAGCTCCCCTCCTCTTCACTTTTTACATATGGGGAAACTGAGTACAGACAGTCCACATGAATATCTCAGAGTCATAGCTGGGCAATGGCCAGGATGAAAGTAATACCCAGGACTCTTCATGGGTTGTGTATGCACGTACATGATGGAGACTGGAAAGAGGCTTCATTTTGTGTTTAGTTAAATGCTAGTCCAGTACTTTCTTTGTATGGGGAATATGTGATTGAAATTTTGGGGATGAAATCTCTTCTTTTGACTTAAAAAGCTATATTCTTGGCAGAAAATATTAGTAATACTAGCTAGTTAAATAGCAGCCAAGAGGGCTGGGGATATAGCTCAGATAGTAGAGTGCTTGTCTTGCATGCACAAAGCCCTTGGTTCAATCCCCAGCACCACAGAAAAATTTAAAAAAAAATAGATATGCAGCTCAGAATGTTTGGAAATGATTTAGTGAAGGAAATTTTTCTTCCTTTATTGTTTTCTCCTCAGTATAGAGTCACCTAAAATTCTGCGTGTCTACAGTGGCATTGTAAATCAATCGGAAATAAAAGAGGGTAGTTCTTTCTTTGGGGTTCGAGAAATAATAATTCATGATCAGTATGAAATGGCAGAAAGTGGATATGATATTGCTTTGTTGAAACTGGAAACAACCATAAACTACACAGGTATGTAGCATTTTAAGTGGGAAGTTGTCTACCAAGGTGACCTAGATAAAATGTTTAACTTGACAAGATCCACGGCTTGACCTTACCAATGAGACTCTCCAGGGAGAAGATCTAGAAAGCTAGTCTTTCACCCTGTTAAGACTGACACACTTGTCTGGTTATGCAATCATATTTTGAGAATTTGGGTGAAAAGGTAAGTCTTCTTCAAGCTTTATTTCAGTGCATGGGACAACATAATTTTATAATCTATTGGAATATTAAGAATGATTTAGCCTAGTGTCTTCCTTTTAGGATTATAATATGTAACACTCATTAATAATAAATAAAGAAAATAATATAAATAATAAATAAAGAATACAATACAAAGTGAGACAAGAGAGTCTCTTCTGGGAAGCAAAATATATATTATTTCTGATAACTAAAACTATGATTTTTAAAATTTAGACTCTCAACGGCCCATATGCCTACCTTCCAAAGGAGATAGAAATGTAATATACACTGACTGCTGGGTGACTGGATGGGGGTACAGAAAACTGAGAGGTAAAAAATGATGTTCTAAGATATACCGCATCCTAAAAATAAAAACAATAGTTTAAGCACAAACTTTTCTACTCCACCACATCATAGTTAAAATGCAAGTCAAATAACTATTCAATTACAGAAAGTATATTAAAAAAATTGGAAAGAAAAAATACCCAAGTAACAATGATATCATGTCTGTTTGATTAGGAACTTTAAGTGTGATTAAACCTCTTTATAGACTATTTTTAATGATGTTTAGTGGGAAACTTAGCACTTTTCAATAGGTCCTAGCTTATTATCCAATTATTTTCTCTGGGAAGTAATTCTACTTAGAATCGTAATTAATTTTTAAATTTAATTAAATTAACAAAATATACACCCAATAATAGGAATAATGTCTTCTTTGTACTCTGCAATTATAAAATTTCTATGAAGCAAACCTAATAATTTTTTCTTTCAAGAATTTTCGCAAAAGATATTCATTTTTAACATCCATGTATGTATATATACATATACATATACACACACACACACATATATATACACACATACATACTGCACTTACATATTGTACATATGGATATATTTGTTATATGTAGTATATATGTATTTATTATATGTGTGTGTATATCATACATATGTATATTTAGTATATATATTAGTATATATGCATATATATGGTATATATATGTTATATACATATCTGTATATATAGACAGTATATATGTTTATTCCACTAAAAATATAAAAACAATTTTTTTCAGACAAAATACAAAACACTCTTCAGAAAGCCAAGATCCCTTTGGTGTCCAACGAAGAATGCCAGACAAGATACAGAGGGCATAAAATAACCAATAAGATGATTTGTGCAGGCTATAAAGAAGGAGGGAAGGATGCTTGCAAGGTAAGAGGGTCTTCTCCACCCTCGGAACGTCTTCAAATCAGAATGTCTGGCACATTTCTAAAAAGTAATCTTCAGCCAATGAGCAGGAGATGCTGGATTTGAGCTACTTTCACGGAAATCTAAATGAGACAAACGGGATGCATTGAGCAATGGGGTTTTTTTGAAGTTTATGAAGGGCCAGGACAGAATTTTAAGCAAAATCCCTCTGAACAAAAATTTATTTAAGATGGGTAGTGACCAGGACATTTTTGTTTTTCTCCCCTTTCCATAGGGAGACTCAGGGGGGCCCCTGTCCTGCAAGCACAATGAGGTCTGGCATTTGGTGGGCATCACAAGCTGGGGGGAAGGCTGTGCTCAGAGGGAACGGCCAGGCATCTACACCAACGTGGCCAAGTACATAGACTGGATTTTGGAGAAAACTCAAGCCACATGAAGGAGTCTCCAGGTGCCTTTTGTCCCCTGAACAGCAGGCCAGATTGCTCCCTGGAAGAGGGAAGAGGATGTTGTTACCCCTGAAGAAGAGACCATGATCCCAAGTCTCCTCCACAGTCACAAGCCCAAAGGGTGTGGTATTCGTAAGAAAATACCCAGAGGAAAACACACCGTCATTTTCAAAACTCCCATTCTTGGATAATCACAATTGTTTTCAGCACCTAGCTTCTTGCTTTCTGATCACACTTTCACTCAGTCAAAGAAATTTTTGAAGATTAAAATATGGCAGATATTAGCAGAAAAGGATCAAGTACTGGCACCAAGGAATCAGGTAGAACTGCTAAAAGAAACCACCACAGGAAAAAAAAAAGATGCATTCAATGAAAGTGGTAACTGGAAGAAATGGAAATAAGAACTGTCCCCATTAATTTGCAATTGTCTATACTCTGCCTACACCAACACGTTTCTTCAATAAAGAATTAGATTGAATTCACTGACAAGATTTTAGAATGATCAGAAATTCTTTTCTTTCCAATGTTTAATACATATATAGTTTTTCAAATCAGATTGGGTAGGCACAAACTAAACGTGAATGTGAACAAAGACTCCAGAATTTCTCTATAGGAGAAGGCTGGGAATAGCAATTTACCTGGAAGAGAAACCTTAGTGGACAAATGTTAGTGATGTCCTTTCCTGGAAAACCATTTGTAGATAGATGGTACATTTCATTGCAGCATTCGGGGAGCAGGATACTGATGGAGAGAAGGGAAGCCAGCCAACCTCCTTCCCCAAGGCAAAGCAGTAGTGGGTGGAAATTAATATAAAATGCATACATACTACAGGGAAAGACAATTGGGAGCAAATCGATGGTGATAGTAGCAAGTTTAGCATCTCTATACGGTTCCCTGTATTCTCAATACTGGGGTTTTCTCTTTCCTGTAAATATTTACCTGGTTACTATTCTGGTATGGTTCAATAACCTAGAATTTGAACTGCTTTGATCTGTGTTAATAGCTCACCAATTCATCCAATATGAAACATATTTATTGAACACAATTACGTGATAGTATCAACCTGAGCTTTGGGGATATAGGGTGAGTAAATGATTTGTTCCTAGTTTCATGAAGTTTACTGTCTACTTAGCATGAAGAACAAAATAAAAAACTTACACCCAATATATAATGCTAAACTGAAATTAGGAGGACTCACCAGGTTTTATGAGATGAGATAGGAAGACAGGTACTTGGGGAAAGCTCAAAATTAGGATAAAAAGAAGGTTTTCCTGAGGAACACAAAACAACAGCAAACCATGTAAAATAAGGTATTATTATTTCCATTATAACCACATTATGTTGTATTGTACAGGAGGGGGGAAAAAAGACAAACCAGCTAATATTTTCAATTCATTTCTCCATTTCACCACTAGATGGCACTTTTATACCTCTGTTAAATTTTAAAGCAGCGTGTGAGCAAAGTCCATTTAATTTATATGTTGAAATAAATTCTATGTATATGTCATATCTGGGAACATTAAATCAAATCAACTGCTTCAATCCAAATGTGTTTGACTTTTCAAATATAATTGTAAATATCTAGTTCCTAGATAGCACTTTCTCCTTTAAACCCTATGTCCATAAATCCCTCAATCCCAAGGCCTCCCCTACAGACTCAGTAGTCTGAGTCCCTGGGTGAGAGGCCACACTGGGTTGGCATGTACTAAGCTGTCCTCCACAAACACCTCTGGAATGGCAGAAGGAGTGCTGCCCCGTGTCCCACCAACCTTTCCCTGTTGCCACCTGCCTTCTAGCGAGTGTCAGTGGCTCAGGACCCCTCTTGCCATCTCTCTGTGGTTTCCCCTTTAACTGTGCCATCCTTCCCACCTTGCTATGTCCCCACACCTCTCTACACATCCTCCACACCTGCTTTGCAGGATGTGGGCAATGGAATTCTCTCCGTTGATTACTCAAGGAATTATTTGGATCATGTTGTATTTAAGAAGCAATAAACCAAGATAAATCATGTTGGTGCATAGCTGTAATCCCAGTGGCTCAGGAGGCTGAGGCAGGAGGATCATGAGTTCAAAGCCAGCCTCAGCAACTTATTGAGGCCCTAAGCAAATCAGAAAGAAGACCCTTTCTCTAAATAAAATATAAATATATTTTAAAAAGGGGCTTGGGATGTGGTTCAGTGGTTAAGCACCCCTGGGTTTAATCCCTGGTTTCCCCCTCCCCCCCCCCCAATTATATAATTATAGAAATTCTATTGGTTCCTAATAATAGAAAGGAAGGAAGGAAGACAGAGGACAGACAGGAAGACACACTTTGAATATATTTCCCTCAAAGTGTTCCTAGGGCAGCAGTATTGGGGCTTGGTCCCTAGTGCAGTGATTGGGGGAGGCTGTGGACTTCTGGTCAGGGGGATTAATGGAGAGTGCTTAGGACTGTAAGGGGGGAGGTGTCAACACAGAGGATTGTGGGACCTGTAGTCTCTTTTGACTTTCTGGCTTGAGATTTGACCTTTTGCTTTGATAAACTAGTCTTTCATAATGTGCCACTCATCAGAACTGTCACCCTCACCAGAACTGAGCCCTTGGAGGCACCTTGCATTTGAATCTCCAAAACTGAGCTAAAACAAGCCTATTTTCTTCATTAGTAGCCTATCTCAGATATTTCCTTAATAATGACCCAAACTGACTGATATAATCTCCCTTTTCTGCCCCACCCCCCACCTAACACACACAAAACACACACACAACACACACACACACACACACACACACACACACAGAGACAATATGGTAATAAGCTCTCCAAGACTCAGGGACGAGGCTTCTCCCTAGAGGATGTCTTACTAATTCTGTTTCCTTTCCCCGCCCCCCAACATTGCCAGGCCCAGCTTCTGCATACTCTAACTGCAGGGTCCACAGGGGCAAAGGCAGATTTTGGGGGGGCTGAATCTTATAATGTTCTGTGACTATGACATAGAAAGCCTTCCAGCTTTCTACGGACCTTCAATCAGAATTTGGTTGTCCACTTCATGTGAACAGAGAAAGTTTGAGTATGAATATCCTCCAACTTGTGGACAGTGTTTCACAAGTTATTCAGCTGGTTAGTGATTCAAAATGGAAAAAAAAAAAGAGAAATTGTTCAAATTTGATGACAAATTATAAGAAAGGGAATGTACTCTTAAAAAGCATTATGAGGTAATTTTCCTCCCATGTTCTCCCTCCCTACCCCACTTTGAGTCACCCCCCCCTTATATCAGAGAAAACATTTGGCATTTGTTTTGGGGGTGATTGGCTAACTTCACTTAGCATAATCTTCTTTAATGCCATCCATTTCCCTGCAAATGCCATGATCTTATTCTTTTTTTAGTGCTGAGTAAAATTCCATTGTGTATAAATGCCACATTTTTTTTATCCATTCATCCACTGAAGGGCATCTAGGTTGGCTCTACAGTTTAGCTACTGTGAATTGTGCTTCTATAAACATTGATGTGGCTGTGTCCCTGTAGTATGCTGTTTTTAGGTCCTTTGGGTATAGTCCGAGAAGAGGAATGGCTGGGTCAAATGGTGGTTCCATTCCCAGCTTTCCAAGGAATTTCCATACTGCTTTCCAAATTGGCTGCACTAATTTGTAGTCCCACCAGCAGTAAATGAGTGTACCTTTTTCCCCCGCATCCTAGATGGTATCTTAGAATAGTTTTGATTTGCATTTCTCTGATTGTTAGAGATGATGAGCATTTTTTTCGTATATCTATTGATTGATTGTATATCCTCTTCTGAGAAGTGTCTGTTCAGGTTGTCAACATACCTTATATACAAACACAGATATGATAAATGGTGGTATAAAGGTGTATTAAGAATTGTATGCAAAAAAATAAGAGAGCTCATGTATAATGGCATAATTTGGTATGAACATACTTTGTATACTGAGCTACAAAAAAAATTTGTGCTGCGAATGGATAATTATTAATGTAATGCACTCCACTATTGTCATGTATGTAAAAAATAAGTAAAAAAAGAAAGAAAGAAAAAAGCATTATGAAATCCGCATAGCTACCTATGTGCCCACCAGAGGGCGCAGTGATTCTGCAAATCCAACCTTCTGAATTCCAGATTCTGGCCACTAGAGAAGTTGAATCTTTAACTGCCCTTTTCCCTCTCAATTTATTGCACTATGTTCAACTTGCAGTCCTTGGGTTTCCAAGAGGAACTGGAGTCAGGTTCCAACAGGAGCACCCCAGTTATAATTCAGCCTTACTAACCAGAGACAGTTTAAGAAGGGAGATGGAGTTGTGCAGAGCCCTGGAAAGGCTCAGCATCAATTTGTGTCTGGTTACCAAGACCAACTTAGAAACCATGATACCAAGGCCTGCCTTATTAGTGCAGCAAGGCCTGAAATGGCTATCACATCAGGAAGGAAGGAAGGAAGGAAGGAAGGAAGGAAGGAAGGAAGGAAGGAAGGAAGGAAGGAAGGA